CGTATAGCAGCCTTACGTAAGTTACGTATAGCAGCTTTACGTAGGTTACGTGTAGCAGCTTTACGTAAGTTACGTATAGCAGCCTTAAGTACGTTAATTCTTTTTGTGTAGCATTTACTAATCAGATTTACTAATTAGATTTACTAATTAAATTACGTACGGCAAAGCACGTGCTATAGCTGAGCTATAGCCGAGCTAAGCACGTGTAGCAAAAGGACGTGCAGCATGCAAGGTTTCTTTTCGTATAACATTTACTAATCAGATTTACTAATCACATTTACTAATCAGATTTACTAATCAGATTTACTAAGCGAAGCGTTCTTTTTTTGTTTTGCGTCGAGTTCGTGTTTTAAATATTGTAATTCACTTTTGTTGAATCGAAGCATTGCATCGATTATTATTAAGCGACGCGTTGTTTTCTTTGTTTTGCGTCGATTTATTGTTTCAAATATTATAATTCACTTTTAATAAATCGAAGTATTGCATCGATTATTATTAAGCGACGCGTTATTTTCTTTGTTCCGCGTCGATTTATTGTTTTAAAACGCGTTATTTTCTTTGTTTCGCGTCGATTCATTATTTCAAATATTATAATTCACTTTTAATAAATCGAAGCAATGCTTCGATTACGATTAAGTTACACTTTTATTTTTATATAAGTACTCGCTTCTTTTCCTTTTCTTTTTCTTTTTTTCATTATCACTTTAACACTTAACTTCTTAACTTCAACCTTAACACTTAACTTCTTAACTTTAATTTTAACACTCAACTTCTCAACTTTAACTTTAACACTTAACTTCTTAACTTTAATACTCAACTTTAACTTCTTAACCAACTTTAATACTCAATTACAATTACATTTAATTTAAGTAATTATTTTCTTTTTAATTCCTTGCTTTTTGATTCCTTGCTTTAAGCTAATTATTTTCTTTATTTAGCAATGTCGATTCCTTTCTTTTATAACGCTATGGTCGAGGTCAACCCTTTTAGCACTAATGGCAACAAGCTAATCAACGAGATACTTAATCGCTATAAGGATTTCGTAGTCGTTTATGCTGATAATAGCGTTGTTAATTTAATGTTTACTTGCTATAACGGGGAGGATACCGCTTTGTTTTTAAGACTAATCGGCCTCGATTACGAATAGAAGGGTCGCAAAGGTTTTGTCGACGAGTTCGGTATTAAGCACTACGGTGCTAACAAAGTTAGTAATAACATTTATATTCTATGATCACTGATTGATTTTTTATTTAAAAAGAAAGCGCTCAAGTCCTTTATCTCTTCGACTACTTTGTCTCTTTCCTTAACGCAATTAGAAAGCAATTCATTTATAAGGATGTTAAAGTTCGATTGATTTTAAGTGATCTTACTTTTAAGCTTTTCGATAGCGATTATGCCGAAGCTAAAAGCATTTTAAAAGAGCTATTAATGCTATACCTTTTCATTATCGATAGCACTTTAGTATACAAACGCTTTACCTTTAAGTTTTCGGATGAAAATGAGTTTAAGTAGAGCAACAAGTGCTAAAAGCTAAGAGAGCTACTTGAGTCAAACGAGATTTATTTGAACTATGCTTACAAGCAAGAGCTTGGGCCAAAGGCGGAGACCGAGTTGAACGTATTCTACGTAACTGCAGAAAGACGGGTCTTTATCAACTCTTTGTAACTAGTAGACTTAAGCTAAAGAACGGGTTTTTACCAACCCTTAGGCCTTTGTAACTAGTAAATTTAATTAATACTTTGAGTCTTTGATTAGTAAATGTAATTAGTAAATGTGATTAGTAAATGTGATTAGTAAATGTGATTAGTAAACCTGATTAGTAATTATGCATATGCATATTTTTATGTATATAAACCTTATAGAGTAACCTTACGCCCTATAGGGTTTCCTTATGGGGAGGGGCAGAATTTTGTACCTCCCGTGGGTTCCCCCGTGGGGAAGACTCAAAACTCCGTGGGGCCCCATGGGGCCCTATGGAGCAGCCTAATAAGAATCATTTTCTTATTTACTAATTTATTTACTAATTAAAAACGTCTTTTTTAAAATGCGGCCGATACGACGGTAATCGTGGCGGCAAGCAATCCGGTGCTAAGAAACCTTGGCAAGCGCAAAGTAAATATTTTTTTTACGTAGTATTTTAACCTTTATTAATTTATTAATTTTTCTTAAAAAGGAAAGCTAAAGAAAGGCTAATTATTAACCAATCTTTATACGATAAAGGCTAATGCTCGTATAGCAAAGCTGAAACAAGATCCTTAAGCAAATAAGCTTCGAAAAGCTAAAAGACGAGATTAAGCGGCCGCTAATTAGCTTTTTGCAATTTAAAAACAAACCTTAGAATATTTTTAAGCATTAAAAGTTGAAAGGAAAACTCGATAAGCCGAAATGCGAAAGAATCTTATAAATAAACGGTACTTTTTCTTTTTTTTAATTTACTAAGCAATTTACTAATCGATTTTAAAAAAAATCGAAGCATCTACGCGGATAATCTTGCTATGCAAGCCGCTTTTTTTACAACTAAATTTAATAATAGAAAATACTTGAATAGCGATTAAGTTGATAAAGCATTCAATTTAAACGAAAAGGTTTATAAAGAATTTAATTTGCGAAAAGACGAAGAAGAAAATAATAATATACTTCGCGATAAATACGTTTCGATTACCGATGAAAAGATAAAGAAAGTCACTCGGCAATTAACACGTTAGCACGCATAAGTAAGCATTTATTTCATTTAAATATTTATATTTTGCTAATAATATAAAGTCACGCTATATAATGACCGTTTAGCAATTTCGTCGCTATTAATAAAATATAGCGCGGTCTTTGATAAAGAAGTGCCGAGCTGCTAATTTAAAAAGTAGAAAAGCTTTCTTTAAATTAATAACTTAAGACTTAGCAAGCACGGTTTCAAAACGAATTAAGTAAGAATTTATTTTATTATGCTTTTAATCAATTGAACTAATATTATAACTTTTAATCTTTATTTAATCAAGCCTTTTTACGTCTACTTTTCCCTTGATAAAAAGAAGTATTAGCGAGCTAAAATTAAAGCAAATACCGATAAGATTGAATACGAATTGCCGAGTCTAGCCGCTTAATAGAATATAAAAAGATTCGAAAAGAATATTAAATTTGAAGAAGTTGATTGCGATTTTATTTTATTTCAACGCGTTATGCAATTGATTTAGAAAAAAGACGAGCTAGCTCCGGAGTTGTTTTACGGCGTTAAAGATAGCGATACAGAATTGAGATCATTCTTAAATTTAATGCTTAAGTTTATATAAAATAGAATTCACGATTAATTACAAATTTTGTATTTTATAAAAATACTTTTATTTATCTTATTTATTAATTATATTTATTAATAATACTTATTAATTATATTTACTTATCATATTTGCTAATTATATTTATTAATTATATTTATTAATTATATTTACTAATCATATTTACTAATCATATTTACTAATTATATTTACTAATTATATTTACTAATCACATTTATTAATCGTCGGTTTCTTGTGTAACGATACGCTAAGTCTTTTGGACGCACTTTATATACGCTAAGCTACTTCTTTTATTTTTTCTTTCGTATTCTTCGTATTTTCTTATTCTCCGCTTTTGATTTATGAATTATAGTTTACGAGTCTTTAGCGCTTTTACTTTCGTATATATAAACTTTAGCTACCTTCGACTTTTATACTCGGTAATTGTTGATTTTAAATTATTACTTTAAGATTCTCTTAAGCTTTTATATGAACCTCCGCGCTCTCGTAAGTTCTTTTAAGTAATCGCTTAAAGTCGTTATATCTTGAAGTTTTGAATCAAAAGAATTGATCGACTTGCTATATTTAAAATCGATATAAATATATTAATAAATTATTTTAATATTTAGATTTATGAATTATATTTAAAGTTAATTATATATATATTTTATTTAATATAATAACGATTTTAAAACTATTTATATAAACTCATCTATTAATTTATAATAATGAAATTCAAAAGGCTTTCGCAAGCTATCGAATTTATTACTTTCTTTTTTTGCGATACTTCTCTTTTATATATAAAAAGTCTTTTGCTCGCTAATAATACTAATTCTATGATATCCGTCGTTATATTCGTTTTTACTAATCTATTTAATAGATAGCTTAATTTTATAGCCGTTATTTAAAAACCGCTTAACTCGATATTCGTTTATTCTAACTAACTAGCTACGATTACGCTTTTCTTCGTCTAGCATTTCTATTGTACACCGAGCGTTTCGACCGTTCGTTCGTCTAATAAAAAGAGAATAATAAGTTTTATTATCTATTTCGATAAAGATCGAGTTTAGTTGGTTTGCAATCCTTAATAAATTAATAACTTGATTAATATATAAATAATAAAACGGCACTTATAAATAAATCGGCAAGCGTCCGTTAAAATATGAATTTCTTTTATCTATTCTTCAGCTATAATAGATATTCGAGCTTGTAGATATAATTATAAGCTAATACGATTATAAAGTGTTCTATCGTTTTATATAATAAATTTTTAATTAAATGCTTTTATTTTTAATATTTATTAGATTATATTAATTTTATTTACCGTATAGCAGCAGCCGAAAAGAAAGCTGTAAAGATTATATTTAAATTAAGATTTTTATAAGCACTTTATCTTTGTATATTAATTAAACTTTAATAAATTTAAGTAAGTACTTGTTATAACGACCTTAAGCGATTATTTAAAGAATTTATAAAAAAGCGAAAGGATCATATAAAGCTTAAGAAGATTATAAAATTATTATTTGAATTTGAAATTAATAATTATCGAAAGTAAAAGTTGAAAAAAACTAAGTATTAAATTCTTTTTAAGCGATTAAAAAATATATTCGTAACTT